GGTACATTTAATGGAAGGTTATATATTGGTCCTCTTTCCATCTAGAAAATCAAGCTTCGAACTTCATGAAAAATGAGGAATGATTTTATTATTCTTTTTTTTTTGCAAAATATATTTTTCACCTTTTTACAAACATGGAACGATAGTCTCTGTAAGGAGGCATTTAGGTCATATGTAAATCTTCATTTGTCTTAGCTTTATCTTATGATGCTTCTGTCATTTCAATAAAAAAACAACCTTGTTGAAAATAAAACCGATCTGAAGAGTAATAATCTAAAATAGAACACTAAATATCTAGAATATACATATGGACCTTTTCAAAGTTATAGTCGTATATCAAAAAGTCAGAAAGTTAATGTCAAAATTTTACTTAAGATAAAAAAAAATAAGAATTTGCCACTAAGCTGTTAACTAACATATTTTATATATTAAATTTACAAATTGCTCAAAGTTTTGATTAAGCTTCTTATTTTGCTGGTATTTATAACAATAATATAAAACTTGTACAATATGTAAATGAAAAAAATAATTAAAATCCTAATAATGTAACTAACATATGTTGGTCAAATAAAGTAAATTTTTTGTAAACATGTGACATTTTAGATCACTAAATGATGAATTGTACAAGGCAACATAGTAATTTTTTTTTTCTCTAAGTAGATAAGGTGCATTTCATGATCTTTCCCATCCTGTTGTTGTCTAATTCTTTAAGATATATGTATATATAAAAATATGCAGATGTCAGGAAGATATGTCATGTTTCCATAGAGCTCCAGTTGATCTTGGCAAAAAATGGATGAGATTTAATGTCATCTAATCCATGAGGTCCAGCCCCAAGTCTTTCAGAGGGACTGTACTTGAGCAACTAAAGAGAGAAATAAAAATAAATCCTATAAGGTAGTGGATGAAGTAAACAACTGGGTTTTACGTGTCTTGTTACTAATTTTATTCCTTTTTTTTCTTTAATGTTACACAACTAGTTCTTACATTTAATAGATATACATTAACTTTTATTCAATTTATTTATTATGAGGATTATTTTACATTGTACAAAGATTTAATATTAATCTAAATTGGTAGACCCTTGCTCGAAACATGGCAAAAATATCGCTAACAACGAGAGTACCCATCTGATGAAGCAGTCGTTATTACAAGTTTTTCTTTAATGACTTTGAGTGGCTTAGAGTGGTATATCAAATCATCAACATCAATGACTAGGTTGATATTTATTTTTGATCAGTGTACGTAGCTTTCTTTTATCAGATATTACTGATAATTCTGATACTTGAAGTAACAGTGCAACTGCTTATACTTCAATATTGAAGGTAGTAGTAGTTTTAAGAATTAATACCAGGATTTTCGAAATCAATTTTAGTACTTTTATTACAGGAAAATTAACCTACAATGTGAAACTTTAACTATGCAAAAACAACAACAAAAAACTGTGGCTATCAAAGATATTCTAACATTTAAATATTCTTTGATATCTCCAGTCTGCAGAAATATTAAATGTGGTTAATCACTCATCAATTCTAATAACATAAGAACTCTGTTTAAAACCCAGACTGAGAGTAATAATCATTCAGCCAAGTGTAAATACCTAACAGCATAGCGATTCCATCACTGCTGCTATAGGAGATATAGCTTACCTTTCTTAGCAAATCTTGGGCTTCTACAGACACATGACTAGGAATGTTTATAGTGGTGTGAGAGGTGATACCACCAGATTGACAAGAATACAGAGCCTGAAAAATCAAACACTGTTAATGAACAATGTAATATAAGGATATGATGTCAAGGTCATTTTGCTGCATGAGTAAACTACTAAAAAAATCCAAATTTTCATGAACATCAAAATATGTCTTATTCTTGTACAGATATCATTTTCAATATTAGCATGTGTTTTCATGTTAAGAACCATATTGTTTTTACAAGGTAAAAACTATACTAAGTTTACATTCACATGCTAAGAACCGTAATACACTCGCATGCTAAGAACCGTAATACACTCGCATGCTAAGAACCATAATACACTCACATGTTAAGAACCGTAATACACTCGCATGCTAAGAACCATAATACACTCGCTAAGAACCGTAATACACTCGCATGCTAAGAAGCATAATAAACTCGCATGCTAAGAAGCATAATACACTCGCATGCTAAGAACCGTAATAAACTCGCATGCTAAGAACCGTAATACACTCGCATGCTAAGAAGCATAATACACTCGCATGCTAAGAAGCATAATACACTCGCATGCTAAGAAGCATAATACACTCGCATGCTAAGAAGCATAATACACTCGACATGACTAAGACCGTAATACACTCGCATGACTAAGAACCGTAATACACTCGCATGACTAAGACCGTAATACACTACGCATGACTAAAACTGT